GTAACACCCACAGATGCTTATGGAGTCAATTAGCAGTTCTGAGGAAAGAATGCAAGGTGAGTGGAAGTGCTTCTATGTTGTGGAGATTTTGTTTTCTTGTTTACATTTGTGCAATGTTACTGAATTTAATTACTAAAAAGATATTAATGGTTTGTAATATTTTTTAAAAATATTTTTATGCAAGACCTACCAGTGCTTTCTACCTCAAACTGTCAAATCAGGTACCTTTATTTTTCTTTCAGGTAGCTGAAAGTAAGATCAGTTAATGTGCCAGCTCCCTCTCCTCCAAGTTTTTAAACTAATTTCAGATTTATTTTGGCACACAACAGCTGCAGTAACTTGAAATTCATAAGGGATTAATGTTTTTCTGACTATACCCCTAAAAGTCTTCAGATATGTATGTTATAGAACTATAAAGATATGTAGGGTCAGAATTAAAGCTTCCCTAGCATAACAGACTTTAAGCATGTCACCTTTAATATTCACATTCTCTGGCTCCTGACATGTCTGTTTCGTATCTGACATTCATGGTGTTGACTGACTCCCAACAACCTGCAGCTGAAAGGACTTAATGCTTTTCATCTTCCCAAGCAGACATGAACAAATTAATCCTGTGATGGTGGAGATACAATCATTTTATGGAGTCATGTATGAGACTTGCTCAAGGTTGCAGTAGTAGTTGGTCTTATAGCCAGGATTAGGATTCAGGTCCCTAGTCCTCTGCTCAGATAGCTGTGGCATGTACTTCTGTGCAGCTTGTGGGCAACAGTTCTTTTGCCCCAAAATGCCCTAAGAATTACAGTTAGAGATTGTAAGAAATCAAGGGGTCATCTGGTGTTATTTCAGCAGCAGCCAGCACATGTACAGACTCCGAGTTCACACTCTTATGTTACTACGTAAAGGAATTTAAACCACATTTTTACCCAGGAAAAAAACCAAACAAAGAAACCCAAACAGTATCTATTATCCTAATGAACAGCAATTAAAACATAATTAACAGTATTTTCTAGTGGCTTTGCAGATCTGCTATCTGTCTATACAGGGCTCAAAAAAACCTTTAAAATTTAGGACAGCAGATCATGTTTAGGAAAAAGATTTTACAAAACTCCTAATATTCAGATCTTCTTTCTAGCCACCTCAGAAAGCATTATTAGAAAGAGTAGGAAGGTCAGAATAGCTTTATAAGAGGCAGGAGAGAAAATGAGAAACTTGTTACATACACCTTCCTGCAAATTGTAACTGCAGAAACCTGGGTTTCAAATTAATTCAGCAATAAAAGTCCTATTGATTTCTAGCAGAGGAAGAATGCATTCATTATGTCTTTTGCCACATGAATTTCCTCTGAGCTCAGCAAGACTACTCAGAGTAATCCCAGCTTGCAGGGCTGTTTAGGTCTTAAAGAGATGTTGTCCTAATATAATTTGCATTTTATAGCGTTCACAGTTCATGTATTGAATTTACCTTGATACCAAGTCACCAAAACAAGTATTTTGTGACCTCTTTTTCATCACTAATTTCAGTCATTTCTCCACACTGAAAGCGGATGCTCATTTTAAAAGTTTGAATTTTTAATTTCACAGAACAGAAAGTAATCAAAGAACACGTACTTAGAGTGCTCATATGCTCCAGTTTTTAAAGTAACAGTGCTTTACTTTCCAACTCCAGATGGCACTGCGGTGCTTAGCAGCACCCCGCTGGGGAGGGCTGATGCATTGCAAAAGCCCCGAGCCCCCGAAACACAAGGGCTGGCTTGTTTCATGAGAAATCAGCTAATAGTTTTCCAGTACAGATGTCCTTTCAGCTCGGTGAAGACTGGGCTAACAAATGGCAGCTTATATGCCCGAGATAAAACTTCTGAAATAAAGGACTCTCTTGTCTGTAGTTGCAGGAGGTCACAAGGGTAGTAGCCCTTGGCTGCACCAGCGAAGCCTAATGCAGCACACACTGCTGTAGAATGGAGAAGCTCTGCTGTAGCACAGCTCTTCCTGTTCACAGTGACTAATCCTGTCCCTGTACAATTGGTAATTCTGCTATATAGAAGTTTATTTTCAGGGCTGGAGTGCAAACTATTGAAGTAATGAGATTACCAGTATCTTTTCTAGGGAAATCCACAGACTTCACTGCTTGGAAGACATCCTTTGCCATGTCATGTTATCACTTAGACTATTACAAAAATGTCTACAATAAATAATATTTTTCCTTCATGTTCATCCTTTTTAAACTTGGGACTAGGTTGTTCATATATTTCCTTGATGACACACTCATGCATCTATATTGCGTCTCTTATTTTTCTTAAGATTCTATCCCCATAGCTTTTATAGTCATCTTAATTTTGTAGAAGTCTGCCTGACTCCACTTTTAACCCTTCCTAGCTTGTACTTTAATTGTCCAATTTTGTATACACTAATTTCTAGTTGTTACATGACCTGTAGACGCAGTTGAAGTTTCCATCTTCCACTGCACAATGACTAAACCATTGTTCAACCCAAGTCTCAATAACATGACTGATTCTTCTGTGCATTTCAGAACAGTGCACAGAACAGTGGTCTTCCAACAGTGGTCTGGAGTTTGCTCCATAGGCCCACGGTATCCCTTTTGATCCCAAGCAAAACTGAGAGTTTACATGGGTTCATTTGCAGGCTGCTGTATTTTTAACCCCAGTGAATCCTTTTCTATGAGTTGCTAAAGCAACTGAAGATGCATAGAAAGGGTTATCCGTCATACATCTTCCAGCACAGATGACTGTTGTATTACAAAAAAGTTAATGGAAAAAAGATGACCTCAAAAGACAAGAAGGAATAAAAGCAAGAGAGATATGACTGTTTTAAACAGGCAAGACCTTAAAATAGTCTTGTTTCTCTCTGCAGCACCATATGGAACACTTCTCCAAAAGCATAAAAAATGCACACGCACATCTGCCCCCACACACACAGAGTGTCCTACATTACTAATGATGCCTCTGAAGATGAAAACCTGTACCACACCTGCTTTTGTTCCATAGCTCTGGAGCTCATAATTGTCTTCTCCCGCCTCAAAGTTGTGTAAGGACAGAGGTGGCTCCTGACAGCATTAAAGTGTGCACAACTGATATGTTATCAGCATATGTGACACAACAGACAAGCATTTCTTCTTCTGGAATGTGTTCACATGCATTCTAGTTCTTCCGAATAAAACTCAGAAAATATCCTGAAATCAATTTTTAATATTCAAAATAAACTTTAATTGAAGAAAACTCTCACCAAATAAAATTTAAATACATTGTATTCATGATTTACAATTTTGGTGCTGACAAGGTAACACTTACATGCAATAACTTGGATTAGTCACACTTAAATGGGCTCCACTCAGCCTTTAGACTGCAACCAGTGCCAGTGCAAATGTCTGGAGGAAACACCCTTTTGTGTATAACCGTGACGCATATGATAAATGTGAAAAAAATTAAAATACCTAACCTAAGAAGAAAAAACCAAAGCACTGTTGTGAAATCATTAGGAAAACAAAACTGACGACAGAAAGCATGGACATCTTCTGAAGAGACATACAGAGTCGTGGGGGGTTGACTCTGTCTGGATGCCAGGTGCTCACCAAAGCCACTCTATCACCTGGGCAGGGGAGAGAAAAATATAAGGAAAGGCTCATGGGTCAAGATAAGGACACAGAGAGATCAGTTACTGTCATGGACAACACAGACTCAACTCGGGGAAATTAGTTTAATTAATTACCAATCAAATCAAGAGTCTTGCATACTTAAAAAGGTTGCAAGTTGGGGTTTTTTGCCTTCTCTTACTTGCTTAGAAAGCTGTGAAGTGTAACACAAATGGCACAAGTGCTGTCAGCCTTTGAGCCAACACAACAGAATCAGCCACCATTTGCCTTTCTGACTGAATAGCTTACATAGCATGGGCAGTTGCATCAGATAAACATGTCTGATGGGTTCTGTGGTCATAATCTAGACTTACTTTAAACCTGTTGGGAATTAACTTGAAGATATTGCAAAATGTTTTTGATTCATTTTGCAAAGCAGATAGGAGACAGCATCTGAGGAAAATGAAGAATGGAGGTAATACCTATGGATAGTAGAGCCTTCCAGAACTGAAGCCAGAGAATTAAACATTGGATGGAATGTAATGGAAACTGGCTTGCACAAAAGAAGGTTTGTGCCTTAACTGCTTCTTGTGGAAACTGATTCTGCCAGTTCCTTGTGGGCCACCTAGCCCCTCCCTCTCTTTGCCACCTGAGGAAAAAGATACAGAACTTCTATACATGTCTCTTTGCTAATTTAGGCCAAAACATGCTTGTTTGTTTAAATTTTTACTCTATTGCTGAACAGCTCATACCTCACTTTTTGCTTCTACTAAACCTGCTGCCAAAACTTAGTATTAAATGCAGAAGCAGCAACCCAACCAACCATGTATACTGATCAGAGTCCTTTCACTCTCTTTTCAGCTTTCAGAACAAAGCAGCAGCATTTATGAGATCACATAAAATTTCAAGCCAGTTAAATCTATAGTTCCTAGAGATTACTCTAGAACTAGGTATTTTATTATTTTGGATTGTTACATGAACATTCCAGAGAATGAAGCTTGGTTTTCCTGCTGTAGTTCTACTCTGCAGCACTTGCCTTTTCTCTAATAAACTGTTTGCACATGTTCACTTTTCTCTTTCAAAATCTGTTTTTGTGGAAATATAAATTTTGGCTTTTACATTTTTCCACTGACTCTCTTCCTCTTAAGGGAACAATTCATCCTCCTCTTTCTGCCAAAATGCAGTGATTGGTAGCAGTGCTGGTTTTTTTAGTGTACCTTTGTCCTTACAGCAATAGCTATGCAGCCAGATTTATAAAGCTATTAAGATAGCGACACATTCATATTTTTAATGGGAAAATAAACAAGCTAAGGCTGAAGTTTTATGGCACATCACAGTAAATAGCCAAACTTCTAAAGTTTCTTGTTTTAACTCAGCCTAAAACTGTCTACACTCACCACTAACGCAGGTTTTTGTTATCTATCACCTTCTTTATCACTATGAAAATAGTGTCTTTGGAGCCTGCTGGCAGAGATCATTCTTAGAAAATGATCATCATGTTTTGGCATTTCTTCGTATCTGGGCTGATATTTCAAACATCCCATTCCATTTTCTGGAACAAGCAGACCACACCATATTCCAAAATTAATCCAAAGAAGATAGCAAACCACGGGAGTATTCGGTTTAAGTTCAATGTAACTGCAAAAGAAAACAGAAAAAATTTATCACATACCATGTAAGAAGATCACAGAAACCATGAGAGAATTCATATTAATTTGAATGACTAAGAAGTCACACAAATCTGTTAAAAATCTACATTCCAAAGCCATGCATAAAATTAACATGAAATTTTGATTTTCCAGACACTCAAAGAATTCTATTTTATGTTTCAATGATCCATGATGAGTTGTCTCAAATTCTAACTGATGGATCTGGTGGATATAATATAGCATGTACAAAGAGATGATGGTGAGATTAGAGGTGATTTTTCTTTTTTAAATAAAGTGTTTTGTTTCATTCACTTTCTGCTAAAATCTAAATAACACAGTTTTAAGCTAGAGTTATTTCAGTTGCATATCTGACAGTGATTAAAAATACACCCACAATAATAATGACTTCTCTAACAGCTGCAATCTCTTACACACATTCTATACACAAAATGCAGAAATAAAAAAGGCAAAACTGTACCTCTGATTGCCTGAGAGTTTGATATCAAGACAAACACTTTTATAAACGCAAGGCACAAAGGTGTGTAGTCATGCTCCCAAATAACAGCTGGAATTAGCAAAAGCTTTCCATAGGTGGACAACAGCAGTGCTTTGAGAAGTAAAATGAAGTCAGACTTTCTTTTCAGCATCTCGGGTGTCATCCACCACAAGGCAATAAAAATACCCACGAAAAATGAAGTTTGTTCTAAAAGGGAATAAAAGAGTTGGATAGAAAGAATTAACTGCCAAAATCAAGTCCAATTCTGGATGAATTTCAGTAAAATGATTTGTCCTGAATACAGCTGAGCCACTTCTACTTAAAAGACACTGGCAAATGTGAATGTCCTCCATCTCCTGTGTTCATTTTAATAGGCAAATATCACTATTACTTACTTAAACTAATTCAGTATCATGACATTCAGAATAATTCCATCACAGAATTCTACCTATAGGATTGTCATCCTTGTAATTTCTGACACCTTATAGCACAGGAAGTTAAGCGTAAGAATCTCTTCACTTTTTTAACAAAAGGAGAGGTTTATTTCAACTGTCTGTTAGCCTGTAAAACAGAATCAATTCTTGTCTTTTTGAGAAGGTCACCAGGAATGAACCCTTTTCATCCAGCAGGAAAAAGGAACACCAAGGTGAAAATATCATTGAGCTACTAGACTTTTTTTGACACTGCATTCCTGTGTAACGCTGGAATGAATGCAGATGTCAAAGAAACTGTCACAACAAGTGTAATAGGTGAGTTACTACTGAAAAATGAGTTTAACATTTTTACTGACATGTTATACAAGCCTACTTAGAGCAACATTAGACAATAAATCATTTAAACTCTCAATATCTAAGGGAAACACTAGTTTTACTCTGAAAGTTTGATTTAAACACTATCACCTGAAAAAGTATGAGAATAAATGTATTAAGCAACAAAACCCAAAACCCCTCCCCTGCCTCCAAGTATAGTCTTAGAGCACAGAAGTATTTACTTTTTACCAGTGATGACACTGGTCTGTATTTTTGTGTACTTGTTTAAAAAAAACCCAAAAGAACAGATATAGCTTTTCTCAATTGTTTACTTTTCTAAGGCTCACCCTTAATGTTGTATCAACTTAATGAATAATGAACCTTGAAGTCAACATGATATACGTAATAAGGCTGAGCTCTTGGAGTTCCGATGAGCAGACTTTGGCCTGTTCAGGACATTCATTGACAGAGTCCCTTGGGAGTCAGTCCTGAAGGGCCAAAGAGTCCAGGAAGGCTGGATGTGCTTTAAAAAAGCTATTGCTGAATATTCAGGAGCAGGCTGTCCCCATGTGTGGAAAGACAAGTTGTCAGGAAAAAAGATCAGCCTGGTTGAACAGAACTTATGCTGGAATTTTGGGAAAAAAGGAAAATCGATTGGCTCGGGAAGGAGGGTCAGTTAACTTGGGTGGACTATAAGGATGCCATGAAGTCATGCAGGAAGTAGATTAGAAAGGCCAAAGCCCAACTAGAACTTGATTTGGCTGCTACAGTTAAGGACAACAAAAAAAAGTTTCTATAAATACACTGGCAGCAAAAAGAGGGGCAAGGACTGTGACCATCATTTGTTGCATGCAGAGGGTAGTGTAGTCACAGGGGACAAGGAAAAAGAAGAGGTACTTAATGCTTTCTTTGCCTCCATCTTTAATATCAACACCAGTTGCCCTCAGGATACCCAGCCCCCAGAGCTGGAAGTTGGTGATGAGGAGATGAGTGAAGCCCCCTTAATCCAGGAGGCAATGGTTACCGACAGGTCGAGATTTGGCCTAGATATTAGAAAAAAATTTTCACTGTTAGGATGTTCAGGCACTGCAATAGGTTGCCCCAGGAGGTGGTGGAGTCATCATCCCTGGAGGTGTTTAAGAGGCATCTGGATCTGATGCTGGAGGTTTAGGGGTTACAGAGGTAGTGCGAGGTGGATGGTTGGACCTGATGATCCTAAAGGTTTCTTCCGACCTTGATAATTCTATGATTCTACATTGGTCTTCAAACTATATCAACAGATTCAGGTGAAGATTTCTGAATATTGCCACTTTTCACTGTTTTCACATCTAATCTTGATCATACAAGTCTGAACTGTAATCAGGATCAAAACAGGCATTTGCATTAAATGAAGGCAAATTAGAGAGCATGTGTGTAATCATGTAACCATACTGGGTTGGACATGACATGACCATTCTGTATTAATTTTTGCAATATGGGCTTGAAAGACTGATGAAGTTATTCCATGCTTAAAGAGTAGATAGTGACATGAACTAATATTCAATCTTACCTAAAGAAGCTATGCCAAACATTCTATAAAAATCCCATTCCTTGGCATATCTGATTAAGTCATCAGGATCTGTATTTTGGCTTGAATCCTGTAGTTGCAACCACCTGATGTAAGCTTCACAGAGCAAACAAAAGATGCAGAGTTTCCCATGAATCTAGTAAATGATAGAATAATAAAAGCATTGGTATTAAATCAGCATAACTTAAAGCATTAGTATGAAACTGGTATTTAAAATACATTTCAACATCTCTATAAAACAAGCTCTGAAGGTTTATTGTTTTTCTTTAGAATATAAACATAATCTGTTGAGCCACTAGTTCAGGACATCATCCTTTTAACATCAGTTAACATGACAGTCAAATTACAACATGCAGAAACCTGCAGGAACAGTTCCATACAGAAGAAGGCATGTAACTGTGCTTTCTAAATCCTAATCCATGCTTTTTTAAAATTGGGAAGGGTGTTTCAGCTAGGAATGCCAACCCAAAGTTGTGTCATAGCTAGCAGAATTTACTATCCAAAATTTCAGTTTAAGGACAACTACTCCATTCGGTGAACTGGTTTAAACAGGTTTGTTTCTCTTTTCCCCTGGGACAGTCTCCATTAGAAGAAACTGGTAGGGCAATTATACCAAAATATTTCTTAGTTCATATAAGGGTGAGGTACCAAAAATAAATGGAGCAATACAACCAAAGAAAACTTTAAAATATCCTCTGAAGTGACTGCAAAAATGACATCGTGAGGGCCCATAGTTAGCATGTGTCCACATTAAAGAGTTTATAAGCCAATGTGTATGTGAGGTGATTTCTGATTTTATACTGATGTGCGTGAATTCTGCTTTTTCCATCAGAGGTTAGTTATGCCAATTGCACACACATGCACAGGCTTAGCCAATTCAAAATTCAACTCTATTTATTTGACTAGATGAAGTTGCCACAGATGGAGTATTTCATCCAGAAGCCTCACAGAAAACATCATTACCACTCTCCAGAAGCACTGAAATAAGTAAAAATATTTACTTGGATTTATGCTTGAAAGACGAGGTATTTATCTACATTGCTTAAACTGGACTGGCTGATATCAACATGAGTACAACATACCCTTACACTTGGATAATTTGCTCTAGATTAGCTTCCCTCTCCTGGGAAATCAATTCTTAGAGTAAAAATATGCTATTCTGTCAGAAAAGCTACACCTCTACACTCCAGTCTGGCCAGCACAACCAAGTTGACTATGTAACTCTGCATCAACAACACTTCATGTGAAAGTCACCATCTTTTGCTATCGCTTGGAGGGCTAATTACTGAGTTAATTACTCAGGAAAAAGCTCATGAGAAATTTGTACAGTAGGTTTAATTGGCATAGTATTGTTAATATGGTATGTTATACTCCTATATATAGTTCATTTCTGCAAAAAATTGTTTCCAACAGAAATGTAATTTGGAAATTAATTTGAAATTAGATCTTTCTCTTACCATATAATTTAACGTATCATCCCTTTAACATCGATTTACACGATAGGCAAATTAGAGGCTGTAGAAAACTGCATGGACAGTTCTATACAGTTCCTTCTCTTTAACATGGAAGGTGACTGCTGTATTTGCTGGTACTGTGGCACCATTACTATGAAGACAGTCTTAGTTCTTCACTGCTGTGAAGAACTGTCTTAGCAACAGCTGGAGTTTGAGATTTCATGTGTTCTATTCATACAACTGGTTCAGCTTGCTGAAATCTGTGGACAGGCAGGAGAAGAAGTCTCTAAAATTTTACAACTATTGAAATCAATGTACCATATCTAAATATATATTTAACAAGGTAGGGGCATAGCAACTTACATTTATCTTTGTATTGAAAAGAATGTGCCTGTATGCTTGTGCTTTACATAAAACAGCATTAATCAAGATGATAACAGGATCATACTCAATGTATTTATCCACAGGTTTCTGGCAGGATTTCTGAAAATCACAAAATAACAAGAATTAGGGGAAAAAATAGAAGGCGAGAGTTTCTGAAATGTTCTTCTAGTCTCAGCACAACTGCATAAATCTAAACTAGCTATTCAATTCTTAAGTCTTACCATAAGGTAATTTTCATTTTCAATACCTTTTTAATCCATCCAGAAAAACTGCTTCCCCTCCCTTGACAGTACAGCTGACACACAGACTCCCCTTATAAAACATTAGATACCATATCAATTTTTACAGGCTTCAGATAAACATCGACAATAAACTATGCGAGCCTGTACTTAGTTATCATTCTGTGCTCCACAGATGCAAAAAAACCCAAACTACCTTCCTGAGCCTCAAGAAATGCACCAGTATCATGATAAAGGCTAACTGATCACAGCTCATCTACTGGGTATTTTGTTTTGGCTATTTTTGGTATTAATTTGCAAAGAAAATTCATCTATCACTTTGTCCTTTTCAAAGATGCTTTATCCTCCTATCTTACCTTCTTCTTTTCAATTAGATCGTAAATGTTATTTTGCTGTTGCATTGTTCTTCCATCCTGTTAAATTGTCTGGATGTTTCAACTGATTTCCATCACTGAACAAACACCATTATATTCAGAACACTGATAACATAGTTTTCACACACAGCTATAGCCAAAGAGCCTGAAGCTGCCACTGAACAGTGGTGAGACACTAGGCCATTACTTCTCCAATACATCTTCTGGTTCCCACTGTGCCTACTAGAGAGGTTATTTCGTCCAGACCACTGGGAACTGCTGGTCATCAACCCCTTCAGCTTTACTGACTTACCTGCATGGCTGATCACTCCTTGACTTGAATTAATGAGAAGGGCTGACAAAAGGCTGTTATGCTAACTGTAAGCAGGTCAGTTAAATAACAGTCTTACAAAAGGCTCATCTAGCTGACCTGAGAGGAAAATAACATCTAGCAGAGAGCTGAGGAGCAGCAGCAACCACTTCAACAAGTGCACTTGCAGAAGGGTGCTTGCCTGCAGGTTGGCTGTCTCCTGCTGCTGATCCTCCAATTCGGCTACTTGTTTTCTCCAAACCTTTCTCCAAAATTAAATCAGTCAAAACCAGGACAGTGTCCAAAGTTAACTTTGCCTTGCTATTTCACAGAATTATTGTAGAATCTGAGAATGCAAAATTTCACCAGCAAATTGACTCAGAAGTCTAACATCTAGATCAAGAAAAACATCTGAACAAATGCATACATTTATGAATAGAGTGTCTAAGGGATTAACTACCACTAGTAAGTGTTTCTTGGTCCAGCTCAAGGAAAAACTTAACTCATTCGGATTAGAAAATACTGTGTATGACAGTACACAAGTTAATGAATTCAAAAACTGACTCAATTAACCAAGAGTTTGATAGGTCTAAAATTAAAGCGAGTGAGATGGAAGAAAGGACATAATTAACCCAAGACCACAGCTATAGAATTTAATAGAGTGAAAAAGAAATTGCCACTTTAATTAAAGGCAGTGTCTTGCTTCATTTCTTCCTACTGGGAAATCATGAACAGATATTCTTATAGGTGGTAATTTACATATGTCAAATCTCTGGGTTGATGTAGCACAGGAGAAGTCCAATTTTTTTTAATATGCATATTTGCACAAGCACTGGACAAGTCCATACAAAAGAAGATTATTCTTGAACACAATGGGCATCATAAGGGTTAGATGAAGGATATCCTACATACAGAATCAATTAGGCTGAAGATGACCTCTCAGATCACAGAATCCAACCCACTACCTAACAGCACCATGTCAACTAGACCATGGCATTAAGTGCCACATCCAGTCTTTCCTTAAACACCTCCAAAGACGGTGACCCCACCACCTTCCTGGACAGTCCATTCCAGTGTCTAATCATCCTTTCTGTGAAGAAATTCCTTCTAATTAGGTCCAACCTAAACCTCCTCCAGCAGTGCTTAAGACTATGTCCCCTCCTCCTGTCCCCAGCTGCCTGGGAGAAGAGGCTGACTCCCACCTGGCTACAACCTCCTTCCAGGTAGCTGCAGAGAGTGATAAGGTCACCTTTGAGCCTCCAGGCTAAACAACTCTAGCTCCCTCAGGTACTCCTCACAGGACTCTTCACCAGCTTTGTCGCCCTTCTTTGGAAAAATAACCCCAGATTCATTATGCTCTCAAATTTTCCTATAACAGAACATTTTTTTGACCAGTAAAGAACAATAATTTCAAGTGGAAGATCCCAACTGAACACTGATCAAAAAATTTGCAGTTAAGAGGCACTGAAAAATTTCCACTGACAGCTGATACGAATTTTAGACAATTAAAATATATCAGACCAACCCTCCAGGCCAAACCAATGATACAGAAATTCTACAGCAAATATAGAAGCAGACTGCTACAAATGAATACACAAATAGTAGCATCTTCTGCCACCCAACTCTCACCTAAATACCAAATATTCTGCAGCTGTGAAAATGTTTAATTTAGTAGTCTGTAGTCTGTCTGTCACCCAGAGCTAGATGTGAGCCCTATTCTTAATATATTACATATTCTTAAGATACTTTATTTCTCTCTGAGTCTCTGCTGTAAGAAGGAATAGTCTTCTGTGCTTATCCAGCCACTGACCTAGCCAGGATGAGTTCATCCACAGATTTGTGAGACCTACAAACCACCTCTGCTGCAAAAGACTTGTGTGTGCACTGCCATAGACTAATTGGACAAGATGAAGATGACACTTGCTGTACCATGAGAATATTACAGAATTAACATACCATCTAGAATGAATTTTCCTCCATACCCATCTTTTTGTTATTTTTCCAGCTGTACTACTAGAACATTTCACACTAACCTTGAATGCTTAGGAAGGAAACCTGTGACTAGAGCCTGACTTCAGTAAAATCAACACAAGCAGTTCTGCACAGCTGTAGCTAAAGGCCTGGGCAGAGTAAGTGAAGAAGGCACAGATTTAACAAACCAAAGCTTTTTCAGTCTTTCTTGAAGAAATGACTTAGTTACCATAGCCAATTCTAAAGCGATAGAAAGAAGTAACTGGATTTCTTAATGCTTTCAAACACTTGTCAATTTCTTCCTTAGATATCTAACTGACATCAGAAACAGGAACTAACTGGTATTTTTTCTTGAAAAAATAAGACTCTACTTTGATTAAAAGGTACTTTCAGATTACATTACAGAAAAGTCTAACTTGACACCATAAATTCTATTTACACATCTTCTGAATTGATAAATTTAAGGAAAATTACAAGTGTTTGACACTGACACACAAAAGTCCAACAGATTCTGTGCTCCCCTAAAACAGGGTGTTGAAAGTATTTTGATATTCTAATGAATTTACATGGATATTAGCTTAGTAATTGTTTGACTAATTAAACATTTAGGAATATTTGACTATGCTTGTCTGTTGTTTCCAGAAAAAAAAAAAGCTTCCATTTTCATAACTTAGAAATTTGATTAATTACCTTAAAATATAAAATAAAAAAATGAGCAAAGGGAGCTTCAAGAAAAAAAGAAACCTTCAAGAGCTTGTGTAACCATGTTCTTCACAGTGTAACATATTGGATTCTTTTTGATCAAAGCAATCTGAAACATTTAAGGAAAGTAAATACATTTTAACATCTCAGTTGTATTAAATACAACAACAAAAAAAGTACTGATATGTTAATTCTAACGGCATGTTTATCAGCCTTTTATAAAATGCTACTCAAAAGACGTAACTCTTTTCTGTTCATCAGAGATACTCAGCTTGCAAAATGTTCACAAACTATGCCCAGTACAATACAGTGTAAAAATATTTGAGAAAGTACCTACTGTCTCTGAAGGGTGAAGTCCCTGAAGTGTATGAACATGACTTTTTTTGAGTCCTTTCTCCAACATTTAAAACATTACTGATTTTTAAAAATAAAAATATTTTGGGATGGGGGTGATGAAAGGGAAAAAAGTTCTTGAAGAGAAAGCCATGGAACATGATAGAAATAAAAATATACACTGAAGAACCAAGCTTCATCCTGAACTAAAAATACCAAGAAAACCACACAAGAAATATATTTGCAAATCTCTGGACATTAGAAACATCAGTGAAACAGTCTCATTTTAATATTCCTTTCTCCAAGGTTTGGAGTTTGGCAATATTAAAGTGACAATGTTTTGCTGGACTACATATGCAGCAAATCTCAACATTTACATAGCTTCACATGAACACAGGTTCATTTACATAGGTTCATAGGGCAAATGAAAGAGACCCATCATCTTGTGACAGTGCCCTTAGTCCCCATTGCCCCTTAAACAATAAAATATAATTAGCTGTGTGACTTTCAGCAAGGGGTTCTTTATTAGGGATGCAGCTAAGTGTCATAATAAGCTGAGAAACAAACCAGCTTGGTTTCGATGCAATCCATTTCAGGAAACAAATTAAAAATACAATTTTATAACTTTAACACCTCTTCCAGGAGTGAGTTGGGCTGTAAACAGTTATGTAAATAAGAAAATTAGCATACTTTATTTTCCAGGATGATCTTTGTTCTCTTGACAGATTCTTTACCTTACCACATAAACATTTGCATTCAAGGCATTTACAGTCTCTCTGCCTTGCTGCAATAAAAGAGCTTTTCAATTACTTTTTTAATTGCAGAAAAGCTAAATGAAGTGTGCATTGCTCAAGCAATTTGGCTTTCTTATTACAAAACACAAGGGGGATCCCGACTGAGCTTTACACACTGCAATGAATAATTTCTTTCCCTTTGTTAGGGTCTGGAACGATTTTAACATTTTATTTTTAAACACAGCAACATATATGTAATTGAAAACCGAATTTTTAAAAAGTTTGTGTGCTTTTCCATCAATATATGAATAAGTAACATTTGCTAATATCCTTCTATATTCATTGCATTTCACAGACTTTATTTCAGGTTAGCCAAATGTGTTCCCACCTCTCATCCCAGCATTACTACTGTAGTAGCAATGTTATCCAAACAGTAATTTTTTTTCTTACTGTTCTTAATGGTTGGTTCAGTGAGGATTATTTACAGATCAATTAAGTTTTAAGGATCTCCAAATAATTAACAAAAACCTTCTCTAGAAACAACCACCTAGACTCACTTCCATCATTGCTTCTGGTTTGGAATAGGGAAAACATCAGTACATTCACAGATGAGGACTAAAACCAGACCCATGAGATGCAAAGTGACTGCCAAACATCACCTTTTCTGGAGGCAATCCCAACATGCCTGGACACCTCCCCTTGCCCCTGTCACTTCCCAGTTATCACACTGAAGAAAAAGCATATTGAACAGGTCTCCCTGAGGAGGTGAGTTTCCTCAGAATTTTATTATCTGTCTTTATATATTTATATATTTTTACTGTGAGGGTGGTGAGACACTGGCACAGGTTGCCCAGGGAGGCTGTGGATGCCTCAACCCTGGTGGTGTTCAAAACCAGGTTGGATGAAGCCTTGAGTAACCTGGTCTAGTGAGAGGTGTCCCTGCCCATAGCAGGGGGTTGGGACAAGATGGTCTTTTAGGTCCATTCCAACCCCTTAACATTCTATGACTTTATGATTTAAGTACCTTTAAGACCTTTTCAAGGAGCAGCAGTCCACCTGCTTCTTGCAATGGCACTTCTGCAGCAAAGTACATACAGGATGAGAAAAATGTTCATCCACTCAATGTGAATCTCAAGCAAGAAGGCATGTGCAATGTCTGGGCTAGGCTTCTGCTGAAACTGTCCTTGATTCAACAAAACAGATTTTTAAAAAAGCTAGAGGAATTTCTGGCAGATAGACACCTTGCAGAGCTTTTAACATGTAACCTTT